ACCAGAATTTTGATTTTGAAGAGGAGATGTATATAGATGATTGTGTATATCATAAAACAAAATTCTGCTTGAAATCAAAATTCTAACACCATTCTGCTGAAAAAATATAATTCTCACCAGAATTTTGTTTTTGAACGAGAAATGTATATACATGATGTATATATATCTTAAAACAAAATTCTGCTTGGAATCAAAGTTCTAATACGATTCTGCTGAAAAAATATAATTCTCAGCAGAATTTTCAGTTTTCAGGGGGAAAAGGAGTGTATGATGAAGCACAATTCTGCTGGAGAAACATAATTTTAAGCAGAAGGGAGTTGTTTACTATAGCATTATAAAAGTTATATTAATATGAAGAGAATTCGTATGTGTATTATGATAAATGTATATACAATACAGAATTCTAAAATTCTGCTTGTGAGAACTTTGCCACCACTCAGATGAACAAGACCTTAATTTAAAAAATCCTATTTAGGATTCTTAAGATTCTGAAAACAACGAATGTCAGTAGAGAAGCACGTTGTAGTTTAACCTGTAAGTGCAACGAAAATGATTTAGATGATGCTCTCTTTTTTGTTTGCAGATGCAAACGCGAAACCAATTATCTCAATCTCTCGTAAGAGAACAAAAAATATGTATGTGTGAGAGATCGGCAACAAAAAAAAATAGAACTAATCAATTTTTACATAAAGATAAAACAACAATCAACACGATGAGAGGAAAGAATAGAAGGAGTGAAAGGATAGAAGAGAACGCCCACAATACAGTATCGTCTGTGATGGTGGGTTCCATTATATTGTCGATCAAAGGTTTCTAAATATTGATTTTCTAGCTATGACATCGAAACCGTTTGAAAATAAACCATGAAATAATTATTGTCTTTGCCATATTGCACCACCAAAAGTTCCTTCACATGATGTTTTTTTAAATTCATTTACACCAATGATTTCTAGTATAATTGAACCACTCAGACGATGTCGACCTAATGGAACATCACACCATTGCGCATTTATCACTGATGAATCGATTATTCCATGAAGAACATTGGAAAACTTTGGTTGACACCTGGCTGCAACCTGTTGTGTACCAAACCACCACATCACATTACCCAATTGTCGAATATAATACAACCCACCATCATCACATTTCCATGTGCCACTTAAATCAATAGCATTTTGATTAATATTATGGGTTTTCTTAACGTTTGCTAGAAGCAAAACCTTACAAGTATTATTATACAACAAAGATGGAATCGATTCGACTCATCGAAGGCGTTTGGAACGTTCATACCATTTTCGACTTAGCTCGAGACTTTTATTTAGAAATTTTCTTCGAATTTGCTTAGATATAAAACGTTAGTGGTGCGTGTGGGCGAGGATGTGACTACAGTAAAGACTCATACAAATTCTCATTTCCACGTCACATTCACCTCTAACTGGAAGACCAACGTTTTTCTCTCCATTTGATTGCTCACTAAGGAAAGAAGATCGTTTTGCTAGTTTGAAAGAGTCAATTCTGGTTTATATTATGAGAACCATACAGATGGATACTCATAAAAGTCTTCTTGAGACTTGCTACTGCATTTTGATGACCATCAGTTGAATCACTTATGATTTGTAGAGACTTGATCGAATTCTGTTCTCATTATTATTTTTCATAAAGAAATGACTTGACTAGGACACTTTGTCAGAGCGAAAAGTTTGAAGAAATGAGTCAAAAGATGACAGTCTCAGTCATCAAAAGACAGGTACAAAACACTGATTGAACTGAGCTAACAAGTCACTCAAACCTAAATCCGTCCTCATCAAATATGGACACGATTAGATAATTGTATACGCAATTGGCGTGAGTCAAGACATAATATTTTCATGTACGGAATATTTACAAAACATGTTCAACTTGAAATCAACTAGTCAACATCATTGGTATTTCTATGTTGACATAATGACCAGCGTCAGAATACATTTGTAATCCGGCTACTTCCCTTTTTTTCTCGTTGCATAATAGTAGTAGTGTCTATAATGAGTTCTTTATATCTTTAGATTTTCTACACTTCTGATTTATTTCTAGTTATATTTTGATGAATATTTATGCCTCGACATCTTCAAGACATTCGAATTCATAGAATTCGAATGTTCTTGATTGATTGGTTGATTTATATTACTTAAATAAGTGTATTTAAAAATAATAATAATTAGAAAGTGGCATAATAATCAAGAATATCTCAAAATGATAATTGCTTTGTGTTATTTTTGTTTCAAACTAGTCTATAAAAATAAAACTATGTTTTATATCTAATATAGACTATATGAATTGATACTATAAGTCTAATGAAATCTTTTTCTCAAAAAGAGTTTATAGAGAGCAATTCTGATAAAAATATTACGATCTTAATTCAAGAGCTTTTTCTTTTAGGAAATATAACTAGATATGTACTCATTTTTTGAATATCCACACCCTAAAAACCTAATCATTTTCTGCATGCAACTTCACTTAAGGCTTTTGAAAATATGTTCATGTTCTGCTATAAGTAATCTCGTCCATCGATTCAGATATAATTATTACACTTACTTGAGACTGAAATTTTGTTTATAAATGGTGTAGAACCTTCTTGAATCGAGAAATTTGATGGTTGATCAAGTTCTTTTTCCAGTTCTTCTAATAGCGTTTTCAGTTGATTTAAATGAATTTCATTAAAGTCATCCTCTTGACGAATTTGTCGCGATTTTAAAACAAATTTATCTAATTTCTTTTCTGTTTCAATAATGTTGTCATCAGTGTCTTTAAGTAATATTTGTCTACATTCTTCTGATGTTTGTTTAATTTTTTTAATTGAATTTTTTTCCCATTCAACAATTTGTTGTATCAATAGACGCTGATTTGGATTAGCTTTTTGTTCAATAAGTTTTTGTCGAAATACATCACAATCGGTGATAATTTTGTCGTATTCTTTGTGAAGTGCTTGACGATGTTCTGTTAAATCTGTCAAACAAAATTTCTCTGAACATCCTTCGCATAGATATACGATTTTATCTTTTGCACATATAAAACATTTTTCTTTACCGATTCCCGTTGCCATGTGTTACGTATGACGACAATCAGAAATGTATTTATGGTTGCAATTGTCAACGATAAGTTTGAAAAAAGTTGAATATATGATGTAAACCAGTAGACAAAGATAAGAGTAAACTGAGTCAACGTCAATAAACATTAACAGGAAAGAAAAGAATAGAGTAGTGTTTTTTTTTCATACTGTAGGCAGCACAGCATTTATGTAGTGCTTCACGAGTTTTCTTTTTTTTCTCTCTTACTTTCCGAACGTATTGAGCAAAAAATAAAAGAAGACGCCCGACATGACTAGTCCAAAGTGTCCACAGCACCCGTCAAGTCTAGTCTGAAACGTCTTGCACACCCGTCATGACTAGTCACCTTTTGGAGAAATGCCCTTCAAACTCGTCTGGACTAGTCCAGAGTGTCCTTAAACCCAGTCTTGTCTAGTCCGTTTTGTCCGTTGACCCCGTCCAGACTAGTAGGAGAACTAAAAAAAGAAGATGCAAGGTGGATTCGAACATTCAACCCGACAGTATTCGAAACCTGACGGACATCCTGACGGGAGACTAAGACACTGAAATGAACTGACGTCCTTTTATACAGTCTAAAATACAAAATTGATTCCCGTCCATCCAGTAAACAATCAGAAACCAGTCAATGCCACACGACTTTGACTAGTCTGAAACGTCTTCAATAGAAGTCAGAACTAGACCGAAGCGTCGTCTTCACTCGTCACGACTAGTCCTTTTTTTAAAGAGTGTGTCACCCATCGTAGTCCAGACTAGTCTGAAAGACTCTATACAAGCCACTTTTTTTTGGACTAAATATATCCTCTTAATTCGTTTCAACTGATCAATAATGAAAAGTAAAAGAAGTAGAATACACGTAGAAAAAATTTTCAATATGTGTATCATTTGTTAAAAATAATCATTGGATAATCAAATGCATTTAGAACATGGATTAGATTGGAGAATAACAATCATTTTATTGCCTGTCTTGTACTCAAATCTTCGTAAATTGAGGATTAAGATTGATCTGTTATATTATGATTACGGAAATTAATAACAAGCATTATTATTTTATATTAAAATTATGTCGATTGTTACCGATGTTATTAATTT